GCCGCAGCAGCAGCAGGAGGAGGAGGAGGAATCTCCTCAAGTGAAGACGGCGGCGCGGTGTGGTTAAGACCACACGCCGTGAAACGGCTGCCGCCTCAGCAGCGCAGCTGTAATGCGATAACGATTGACAGGTTCATGTCGAGCCCTGTCATTTGCTGCAAAACCACGAGGCCCACGTGGCATGTTCTAGGCCCTACAGGGTCATCACACATAATCACAGTGAGCTGCGGCGTTTGCCAATCACTTGAGTGACTCGATTTGAAACAGCAGCGGGGCTGGACTCTGGAGATATCGTATTACGACAGTCCACACACTGGCAGGGATTGGCAGAGTCTATTTTTAGTTCTAGCATGAAGCTTGGCACTGAGGTAATGATACCGACCGTCGCCGTAAGTTCAATGACATGTGCTCCGCAGAAACTATGCGTCGCGCTCCACGATTCCCATCATCCGGGAGGCTACCTTCTTTCCCCCAACACCCAACAGTGAACACAATGCCCCAGCAGGGCCAGCATCACAACTGTACTTGGAGCGGCACAGGGTTTGCAGTGCACGTGGTGCGCTCATGATGATGGGGGCTGTGTTCGCCGTTCGGGGGAAAAGCAATTACGGCATTAAGGCAGCTGGGCAGCCGGACAGCCTACAGCCACACTGAACGATATTAAGTACCTGCTTTCACCAGGCTACGCAGCGACTCGCATGGAGTCCATTTTTTCTTCAGTTCTAGGATGGAACTTGCCATTGCCAGTGATAGTCATAACGGCCTCCTACCATATCATGATGATTATGAGCTGGCAGTGCAGAGTCTGTGCAGACAAACTGCATAGAAATTATCGCCTCTACCAGGTAGAGTATGCAGCGCCTCCCACCACTGTGGATGACTGCAGGTTTGGCAAGCTTCCGGTAGGCATTTTCGAGCCCTGGACCCCAGCCAGCCTCCGGTCACACTGCACAACAAAGTGTATGTGCCACTTACTTTATGCTAGGCACGCTGCTGCGGCAGTGGACGGCGAGTGCCGACCTTAATGCCGAGTCGGACGTGAACAGGCAGCAGCTGCACCGGTGACCTCCGTACTAGCTCAGGGCCTCAGGCTACCAGGCATGACGGGGCAAAGGCCAGGCGAAGACCCCCATATCTGCTGCATTGCATTATCATGGCCGTGAGCTCTTGTCACTGTTGCCAGATTACTAGAATCGCGAGTTCCTGGCAGGCAGCATGAAGCACACCGGGCTCTCTCGTCTTTCTTCAGGTGATTGCATGCATCGCGTCTCGACCACTGGGTAGTGCGATGTCGACGGCGAAGCCCAGGTGGAAAATGAGAGGGACACGTGGACACTGGACAAGTGTCGTCTTCTGCTGCATTGAATAGTTCAAAAGCTATCTAGTGTGTTCTTCTGCTGCATTGAAAAATTCAAAAGCTATTTATACTTACAAGGCTGCAACATCCCTCCATTGCTGCGATTCCCATTCGCATGTACCATGTAGACTCTTCATAAACCATCATCTGTGTGTGTGTGCAAGGGAGAAATATGGATGCGTCTATACATAACCGTCACGCTAGTAGAAATCGGTAGCTTCACGACCGAAACTTGTAATCGGTAACGACGCGAAAGCAGATTGGCAACAAAACAAAAAAAAAAAAAAAAAAAAAAAGGAAGCAGATTGGCTAGTTACGAGTACGTAAGCTAGCAAGCGGACGGCAGGCCTCAGCAGACGAACGGGCGGTGCCCCGTTAATTCGCTGTGAGAAATTCGAATGTATGAATGTCACATTACGTCAGCATTAGATTATTAACTACGTAATAATATTGGAAAGGAGATATATTGAGAATCACATGCCAGTGATTTCCTTGAACATCGTACGATGACAAGCAATTATGACGAGTCATATCATACAATGCTCCCTGAGAGGTGGTTGGATTTCCTCAGAGACTTCATGCAAAGCATGTGCGGCTGAAGACAGCGACCTTCGACAACACCCGTCCTGATCAGTTACTCCGGAAGTTCATCCACGATCGACGGACAGACTGCTAGCTAAGAACGACAGATGAGTAAACGAACAAGATAAAACTCCAGGTGCACGCGCGCAACAAAGATGACCGGGAAATTGAAATCGAACGAAACACACGTCGTCTGCTTGGAGACCTGCAAATAAAGATTAAAAAAAAAAAACAAAAAAAAAAACGTTATTCACTACCGTTAATACGCTGCGTTGATCGCATACTTACACGTAAATCCGCGCTGCCAAGGCAAAATCGAAATTTAATTTACGTTATTAAGCGTAGGCTGCGTAGTAAGATTGTCACGCGTGGATACGAGGCGAGGGTGTTCAGAGAAATGCCCCGGGCCCACACATCGCATAGATAGCAGATGTCCCATTGTCCCAAATCTATAATACAACAAGTAAACTCACACGATATCGCGCCTTTGGCAGGAAAGACAAAGTTAAGAAAGCGAAGAAAATCTTGGTTAAGATTCTTAAGAACTGAAACATGCTACCATAACACTGACCTCAGGGTTGCTTCACTGA